AGCCGCGGGAAACAGCTAATATTATATANGTTTATATATATATATATATATATATATATGTATATATCTTTATTTTACTGTCGTTTAATGTTAGAATTTAATGTGTTTTTAGAATATTCATATTTTTAGTGATAGCATTTTGATTTTCTTGTGTTCGTTTATAATTTAATGTTCTAATATAATATATTTAGTATATTCTATTTAGGAACAGTTTGTAACATTTGTTCCAAAATTCAATAATCTGAGCGTGGTCTATGCACTAGGCTGAAACGTTAGTATATAAGCAAATAAATGTTTCTCGGCAGCGAAAGGTGCTTAGTGATGATTTAGCCTTCTATGATATTCAGGTTTATTGTTGTTTCTAAGTATATAAGTCATAACATTAGTGTTATTGAAAAATTTCTACTAAAGTTATATAAAGACCTTAAATTAGATCGCCTGTAATTTGATCTGCCACTCAAATTTTAATCGAAACCTCTTTAAATTCTTAAGTAATATCCATTATCTGTACAAAATTTGTCTAAACAAATTCTATGTAATGAGTTTACATAACTAATTGAAATCTTGAAGATTTTAATGCAACTTTTAAATTATAATAGCATATTAAATTAAAAATTTACGAGGTGAATGTAAATTAATACACAACGTTAAAAGCTAATCGATTATAAATAACTATTTCTGAATAAAAATCTATAATATTTTCGAACTGTTTTTTATAATACATATTCTAAACTCAAATTTTTATGCATTTTCATATTCTGATAGAGGACATATAAGATGTTTGAGTGTAGTAATTAAACACATTCACATACAGGTGTGTACAGTCTATTGCAAGAATCTATTGAAATAAACGTTAAATTGAAACATTGTCTTATATGAAAGTTTTAATCACAGAATTTAAGCTACTTTCTTCCCTTGAGGGTAGGCGACAGGTAACGTTACATTTTAAAATAGAACCTTTTAATTTCTTGTATATTTTGATTCTTTATTGATAAATAATAACATTTTATTTTAAATAACTTAAAAAATAATTATAAAAACCAAAAATAAAAACTTGCCTTTTATTTTTTGTATTTATATAAAATATATAAGTTCTAAAAAATTACGTAGCGTGTTTATTGCAGAATATTTTAGAAGAGGTGACCAAGAACTTCATTTTAACATGAATAGAAATTTTCCAATAACACTATAAAGTCATATAAAAACTTTAACTTAGATCACCGGTAATTGGATCTACTACTGAAAAAAAAAATACTTTTATGGAAATCCAATTAAATCCTCTTAAAATTCTCAAGCAGTTGACCAGCTATTATCTATATAAAATTTGTGTAAACTATTTCTATGTAATGAGTTTACATAACTAATTGAAATCCATTCAAAGGCATAAAATATTGAAAAATTTAAAAATTTTAGTTCAACTTTTAAATTATGATAGTATATTAAATCAAGAAGTGAGTATAAATTAATACACAACGTTTAAAGCGAATCGACTATAAAGAACAATTTCTGAATAAAAACTATAATACTGTATATCTGAACTCTTTTTTATAATACAAATTCTCAAATCAACTTTTTTCACTTCACTTAATCTTTCTATTGATATAAAATATCAAAAGGAAAGCGTTGTTTTACATATATATCATCTATATATATAAAAATGAATATATGTCTGTGTGTGTGTCTGTCTGTCCTTCAATCGTTACCACACCGTTTATTCGATTGCCGTGAAACTTTGGGAAGTTGTTTAATATACTCCCGCGAAGGTTTTTGGCATAGTACATTTATCCTACAATAGATGGCGCGCGTTTACATGAGCATTCCAGCACAGTGTGTTCGATCGATTTCAAATTCTGAAAACCATTTCCCCTCTTCAAAAAATATCTCTATATATGCATTTGTGAACTGTTATTTACGATATTTGTAATAATTTTTGTTTAATCACTTTATTTCAACTTTCTTTTTTGCTAATTATGTATTCGCTCGAACTTCGTTAAAACCTCAACTGTACCCCGAACAACAACCGAAGTTGTAGGAGGAAATCCGCCTATTTTACCAATCTAGGGATCCCCTTTTAAAAATTTTAATATCGACTCGAAATAATTTAAAAACACAAATTACAATAAAACACTTTATTATCCAATTATCAAAAATTTCGCAACGCGCCAAGGAAGAGAGGAAGGAGCAATTAAATAATTAAAATTATAAAGGATTAAAAATATATATATATATATAAATGGGGAATATTCGGCTATTCGGCCACACTCTTGGCCGAATATTCGGTATTCGGCCTGAGGCCGAATATACTATTCGTTACAACACTATTTATTATCCAATTATCAAAAATTTTACAACATGCCAAGGAAGAGAGGAAGGAGCAATTAAATAATTAAAATTATNTATAATATATTTAGTATATTCTATTTAGGAACAGTTTGTAACATTTGTTCCAAAATTCAATAATCTGAGCGTGGTCTATGCACTAGGCTGAAACGTTAGTATATAAGCAAATAAATGTTTCTCGGCAGCGAAAGGTGCTTAGTGATGATTTAGCCTTCTATGATATTCAGGTTTATTGTTGTTTCTAAGTATATAAGTCATAACATTAGTGTTATTGAAAAATTTCTACTAAAGTTATATAAAGACCTTAAATTAGATCGCCTGTAATTTGATCTGCCACTCAAATTTTAATCGAAACCTCTTTAAATTCTTAAGTAATATCCATTATCTGTACAAAATTTGTCTAAACAAATTCTATGTAATGAGTTTACATAACTAATTGAAATCTTGAAGATTTTAATGCAACTTTTAAATTATAATAGCATATTAAATTAAAAATTTACGAGGTGAATGTAAATTAATACACAACGTTAAAAGCTAATCGATTATAAATAACTATTTCTGAATAAAAATCTATAATATTTTCGAACTGTTTTTTATAATACATATTCTAAACTCAAATTTTTATGCATTTTCATATTCTGATAGAGGACATATAAGATGTTTGAGTGTAGTAATTAAACACATTCACATACAGGTGTGTACAGTCTATTGCAAGAATCTATTGAAATAAACGTTAAATTGAAACATTGTCTTATATGAAAGTTTTAATCACAGAATTTAAGCTACTTTCTTCCCTTGAGGGTAGGCGACAGGTAACGTTACATTTTAAAATAGAACCTTTTAATTTCTTGTATATTTTGATTCTTTATTGATAAATAATAACATTTTATTTTAAATAACTTAAAAAATAATTATAAAAACCAAAAATAAAAACTTGCCTTTTATTTTTTGTATTTATATAAAATATATAAGTTCTAAAAAATTACGTAGCGTGTTTATTGCAGAATATTTTAGAAGAGGTGACCAAGAACTTCATTTTAACATGAATAGAAATTTTCCAATAACACTATAAAGTCATATAAAAACTTTAACTTAGATCACCGGTAATTGGATCTACTACTGAAAAAAAAATACTTTTATGGAAATCCAATTAAATCCTCTTAAAATTCTCAAGCAATATCTATTATCTATATAAAATTTGTGTAAACTATTTCTATGTAATTAGTTTACATAACTAATTGAAATCCATTCAAAGGCATAAAATATTGAAAAATTTAAAAATTTTAGTTCAACTTTTAAATTATGATAGTATATTAAATCAAGAAGTGAGTATAAATTAATACACAACGTTTAAAGCGAATCGACTATAAAGAACAATTTCTGAATAAAAACTATAATACTGTATATCTGAACTCTTTTTTATAATACAAATTCTCAAATCAACTTTTTTCACTTCACTTAATCTTTCTATTGATATAAAATATCGAAAGGAAAGCGTTGTTTTACATATATATCATCTATATATATAAAAATGAATATATGTCTGTGTGTGTGTCTGTCTGTCCTTCAATCGTTACCACACCGTTTATTCGATTGCCGTGAAACTTTGGGAAGTTGTTTAATATACTCCCGCGAAGGTTTTTGGCATAGTACATTTATCCTACAATAGATGGCGCGCGTTTACATGAGCATTCCAGCACAGTGTGTTCGATCGATTTCAAATTCTGAAAACCATTTCCCCTCTTCAAAAAATATCTCTATATATGCATTTGTGAACTGTTATTTACGATATTTGTAATAATTTTTGTTTAATCACTTTATTTCAACTTTCTTTNAATGCGCGACGGGTAAGCTAGTATTATATAAATTTCATTCAGTATTACACCTGTACTCTGTTGAACAGTACAATTGATCTGTACGTGCAGATTAGTTAGATAAAGCTCATGATCTAAATACTGTACATAAATAGGACATAGCGCAACTTTATTGTCAAAGTGCACGAACATTGGACGTTTAATTAGTCTGTTTCTAAAACCACGACATGGGCTTTTATTATTTACATTTAAATAGCTGAAACTCGTAGATAATGACTGAGGAAAATATACTTATTACATATTGGATTAAATCCATGGAAAAGAAATGTTTTTGGAATAATAATTACAAGGATTTCTGCAAAATTTCAAAGCTATACGTGACTTTTAAGTAGTGATGGGAAAAATTTTGTAAATATCGATGTGTCGATATATCGATAATCCACAAAGCCGATAATGATATTATCTAATATCATCAAAAAAATATCGATATATTGGAAAATATCGGACTAAGCTGGGAATTTTGACTACTAGGGTTAAAATTTTGCCTTGCAGGTTTAAAAATCATAACAGGGAAGGGTATCTTAAAAAGGTACTTAAGTTAAATCCTCGTGCGAAGAAACATACATAACATTTCTTTCACTTTTACTTTTAACAGCGTGAGAATCCAACCCAGCAATACTGTAATGCACTGGACCCAAAATTTGCAAAAAAAAAAGATAATAATGAACTCAGAAATTACCAAATACCACTACACACACAATTGCATTACGTAACTTGTTTGTTTGTTTATTATTTTTACGATTTTACTCGATACATTTTAAACTCTGTATTACTTAGCCTACTAACTTAATATGTTGTAATAAACCATTTCTCGGAGAGGGATGATAAAAACGTTAGCTTTGCAAGGATTGAGCTTGCAAGCCTGTTTCGTCTCGTCGTCATAATGAGACCCACTTTAGAAAACAATCTTTCCGACGGAACAGAGCTTCCTGGGATACAGTAATACTGGTCTGCTAGCTTCTTCATATTTGGAAATATGGCAGACAAATGTTCCCATTCTTTTAAGGGGCAGCATTTATGGTCTAACAAATTTTGATTTAAGTACTGTTTTAAGTCTGTAACCAAGCTACCTGAGTCTCCCTGCGTTTCAGTGCCTGTCTGCTTTGCAGCTAGACAGGTGTGGAAGCTCCAGATATCGTCACTGTTAGCAGTCTGTACTAACCTATCTTGTAACTGATGCTTGTCCCCTTCATTATTTGTTCTCGAAATATCTTGTAGGGTCTCATTGATGTGAGATATTGCTTGTGAACAAGCTAATGGCGAATTAAAATGCAGCCTTTTAAATCGTGGATCAAGTATAGTAGAAATGGCTAGCAAGTAGTTGCTTTCGGCATCCTTAAAATAGTGTGCCAGGGAATTCAACATGGCAACCTGAAAATTTTTTCCTACTGTTTCCATAGGAGTTCTGGCAGCTGTGGCTTTGGTCATACAGCTTATCATTGGCAGTATAGAACTGACTGTAATATATTTTTCACCTGATATCTGTTTCGTCAGCTGATCAAATGGTTTCAAAATATCGATCACTTCTCTTAGTACTTGAAGATTGTATGCAGAAATCATACGAGGTGCACTGTGAAAACTTAGTAATACTGCACTTACATCATGACTTAGTTCTACAAATCTCGCCAACATCTCTAGAGTAGAGTTCCAGCGTGTTGGCACAGATTGTTTCAATTTTATTTTCTTCGATTTATTTTGAGCCTGAATGCTTTTTAATTTTTCTGATGCTACAACTGAATGTTTAAAATACTTTACAATATCTTTAACCTCTAAAATTATAGCATGTAAATCCTTTGTTTCTTCCACTGCCTTTACAGCAACCAAGTTTAAAGTGTGCGCAAAACAGCGTAAGTGTTTGTCTCGCCCAAATAAATCCTTCACAGCTTTAGAAACATTGGCACCGTTGTCGGTTACAACAGCCATAACCTGATGTTTCTCGATTCCCCACTCATCACACATTGATTGTAAAATCTCACTTATATAATCAGCAGTATGCCTGTCTTGCAATTCTTTAACTCCTAACGCCACCGACTCAAATTCACTACCATCTATGAAATGGCATGTAAGAGACATGTGACTTGTATTATTGTAAGTATCAGTCCATATATCAGTTGTTAATGAAAGATGTTGGACAGTAGAAATTTTCAAGCGAAGTAAAGCTGACACAGCCTTATACTTTTCCTCAATCATTTCACGAATTTTTTTCCGGTTTGGTACTTTGTAGAGTGGCGCTGCAATTTTGCAAAATTTTTTAAAAGCCTCAGATTCACAAAACGATAGGGGTAAGTTCTCCTTACAAATTAAGTTTACAAGAGCGTCGTTGAAAGCCCTGTCTTTTCTACCACCACCTGAAATTGTATATTAAAATTGTGTTTAATATCCATAACATATTGTACCTAATTTTAGCAGGCTACACTTACTTTGAAAATCAGTTGCATTCTTAAACATTGATGGAATAGATTCTGTTTCAGCCAGCATGAGACTGGGAGTAGGACTTTGACCAAAACTTAGGCGAGAATCGTTTCTGGAACTGGACGAACATAACGATTTACTTTTTGTACTGTAATGCAAATCTATTGAGTTCGTCTCTGTCTGCGAGGAAACATCGATTTCTTTTTCCACTTCTGATTCAGGTTCGTTCGATTTCTAAATCAAGTAACCAGAAATTATGATAAACCATATTTTGTTTAAGTTTAAACATAAACTTACTTCAGCTTCCATAATTACTTCCTTTACTTGAGGTTTTGAATGTGTCTGTAAACCTAACCCCAAAATTCCTTTGTGGTTAGATCTCAGATGGGACCACAAGTTAGTTGTATTTCCTGATGTTTTAACTTGTTTTTTACATAATTTACAGCAAGAAAACTGTTTAGAACTTTTGGTAAAGTAGGTTTGCAGTAATTTTGGCATAGTTTAAAACTTTAAATCACTCGCAAATCACACAACAAGTCGCACAGTCTGGCACTTTGGAAAATGGTGCCACAAACAAACAGCCAGTGTTGCCACCTTTTCAAAATTGCTGACCCAGACATTTTAAAATTGGGATGTTAAACTTAGAAATAAAACAATTAGGTTTTTTATTGTGAGTAAAAAACAAATATTTTTTTATTAAAAGGTAAACATGTACAGTACATGATATATTATTAAGCGGCCGGATGGCCGAGCGGTCAAGGTGGCACCCTACCGCTCTGGGGGACCCGGGTTCGAATCCGAACGGGTCGAAAAATCCCCAGGAAT